TTGCCCATAGAGCATTGCCCCATATGTCTCCCCCCCCACTAGCTCTATTAAATGACAATTCCCATCATCCTTGGTCAAGATAGCAAAGGGGCCAAGCTGGGACAGTGGTCTTGATTGCGGGTCTCCATCGACCCCTCCTCTGCATATTCTCTTCGTGTTGTCGGCAGAGGGACAAAATGCTCGGCCTCCAGATTGAGAAAGCGCTGGGTTTTCTCCGAGCCCAGGGCTGCTGAAAAAGGAATGTTCTTCCAACCACCGGATGTTACTTTCCATTTGGGGTCCCGAAAAAGGATTCTTTTAACCTAAGAAAAACTGAAATCATTCCCTAATCAGTTCCAAACAAAAAAGATATGGTAAGATTGGGGTCCTCAACTTACAACCACAATTGGGACTGGAATGTCCATCACTAAGCAGTGCGGTCGTAAAGCGAGGTATCACATGACCACACTGCTTAGTGACCGCGAATTCCACTGGTTGTTAGCCGAGGACCCACCCCAATCAAAGCCATTTCAGGCTTGGTCCCTCCCAGCCTTTGACCTAGTAAGGTAAGGGACTGGCTCCAACTTCCCCCACCCGCCTATCTCCCCCTAGTCTCTGCCCTTCTGCCCGCCCTGCATCCTGCCTCACGGGGCGGCAAGCAGCCCTTGAATCACACAGCTCTGGGGCTGCTTGCCACGCTGCAGCTCTGAGGCTTCCTGGCACACCGCGACGCAGCGGCCTTTTCTCTCAGTTCCCCGCACCGACCTTTCGCCTTTTGTGCCCAGCCACTGCGGCCAAAGCAGAAATGCCTTGCTGCCTTTACTGTCCGTTTTTGGACCCAGCTTCTCCAGTGAAGCGTCCTACACGTGGCTCCCTGAGCCAATCCCCAGTGCCTTCCCATTGGGCAAAAGTGCTTCCTGCCCTCCCCATTGGCTGGCATTCTTATTTGTGCCATGCTGCTGGGCTGGGCTGGGCAGGGGAGCCACGTGTAGGACAGGTTCACTGGAGAAGCTGGGTACGAAAAAAGACTGCAAAGGCAGCGAGCCGAGATTGGTGCAGGGAACCGGGAGAGAAGGCAGCTGGGTGAACAAATGCTTGCTGGCACTTCCCAGGCATTGCAGCTCGCTGGCACTTGCTGGGGCGGGCTGGGGCAGCTGAGGCTTCCAGGGGCAGCTGCGCCTTGGCATTGCACTGTAGCTCAGGAGCTTCTTGCAGCCCCAGAGCCGCAGCATGCCAAGAAGCCCCTGAGCCACACTGTAGCAAGAGCCCAGAGCTGCGCAGTTCTGGGGCTGCTTGCTGCCCTGCAAGGCAGGGTGCAGGGCAGAGGTGGGGGGGAGATAGGTGGGTGGGGGGAGTTGAAGCACCTCAGTGGTTGTGAGTGTGGGTGGGCTGCCAAGCACCCGAATTTTGATTGTGTGACCACAGGGACACTGCAACAGCCATAACTTTGGGGACCAGTCATAAGTCCATTTTTTCAGCACTCTTGTAACCTTGAATGGTCATTGAATGGATGGTCGTAAGTCGAGGACTACCTGTAGTTCCCCCCGCATGTCCTTTCTTCATGAAATTCTTATACCTGGAAGAAAAAGTGACCATTGTCGTAATAAACAGAGTTAAGAGGTGGGTCATATCCTGTTGCTCTTCTTAAGGAATGTATAGTACATTTCAGTCTTAAAAACATGCTATTTTGAATTCTGTTCACATGCAATTGGCCTCTTGCGAAGCTTGTTATCCTTATGGTATTTATTTACTGACTAACTTATTTATAGTAGCTTTCAGGCCACCTCGGTTGCAAACATTTTGGGCAGAACTGTGGAGAATTTGCAAAGCACCTGGTTCGAATTCTTTCCGAGGGTGAGAGGTTGAAGAGATCCTAGCAGTGCCCCTTCAGAGGCATCGTGTAGCCGTTCCAGTGTCTTGCATAGGACAGGAAAGCACAGTGGGAAATGTTGGGAGGGTGTATTTCCTGGGACTCCTCATGAAATTCCATGGGTAGGTTGGGGCTACTGCACTTGATGAAGCTCGCTGAGAAGAATCATAAGCCCAAATTTCATGACGCCCGTAAAGCGCTCTGGCATGGTGCAGTCGGCTTTTGGAACTCCTTGCCACGAGGGTCGGCGGTGACCATTGGGTTGAAAAGAACATTTGGCAGACGCGTTGAGAAAGAGCTGAGGAGGGGGCTGGGAAGGCAAGATGACGGATGGGGGCGATCCCCTCGGTCAGACCCCGGATGGCCTTCTTTAGCGCTCAGCACGTTTGGTGTTCCTTCTTGAGAGTTCCTGTCGTTGCCAGCAGCGCTGGCTGGGAGCGATGGACCGGTCACCCACGCACCGGGGCGTCAGGAGCGGCTCTTTCGGAGGAAGGCAGGGCGTCCAGCTTCCTCGAAGACGGAAAGCAAGGAGGAGGCGGGTCCGTCCCTGGGCTCCGTGCGGCAGAGGAGACACGCTCAGCACCCTGCTTTGCTAGCAAAGGGGAACGCGGCGGGGTTCGTCTCCATGAGGCAGCAGGGACCCTGCAGGAAAACCGGCCGTGCCCTTGGCGACCGATCGGTGGGGCTGAGGTGGGTCAGCCACCCAACCCCCCCGCCTGTAGCAACAGGCCAAGAGAGAGAGCACGAAAGCA